AGAAGAATGTATATTCTGTGGATTTGGGGTGGAGAGTTCTGTAAATGTCTATCAGGTTTGGTTGTTCCAGGTCTGAGTTCAATCCCTGGATATCCTTATTAATTTTTTGTCTGGTTGATCTGTCTAATATTGACAGTGGAGTGTTAAAGTCTCCCACTATTATTGTGTGGGAGTCTAAGTCTCTTTGTAAGTCATTAAGAACTTGCCTTATATATCTGGGTGCTCCTGTATTGGGTCCATATGTGTTTAGGATCATTAGCTCTTCTTGTTGTATCGATCCTTTTACCATTATGTAATGGCCTTCTTTGTTTCTTTTGATCTTTGTTGCTTTAAAGTCTATTTTATCAGAGATGAGAATTGCAACTCCTGCTTTTTTTTGCTCTCCATTTGCTTGGTAAATCTTCCTCCATCCCTTTATTTTGAGCCTTTGTGTATCCCTGCATGTGAGATGGGTTTCCTGGATACAGCACACTGATGGGTTTTGGATTTTTATCCAATTTGCTAGTCTGTGTCTTTTGATTGGTGCATTTAGCCCATTTACATTTAGGGTTAATATTGTTATGTGTGAATTTGATACTGCCATTTTGATGCTAGCTGGCTGTTTTGCCCGTTACTTGTTGTAGATTCTTCATTATGTTGATGCTCTTTAGCATTTAGTGTGATTTTGGAATGGCTGGTACTGGTTGTTCCTTTCTATGTGTAGTGCCTCTTTCAGGAGCTCTTGTGAAGCAGGCCTGGTGGTGACAAAATCTCTAAGTACTTGCTTGTTCTCAAAGGATTTTATTTTTCCTTCAGTTATGAAGCTCAGTTTGGCTGGATATGAAATTCTGGGTTGAAAGTTCTTTTCTTTAAGGATGTTGAATATTGGCCCCCACTCTCTTCTGGCTTGTAGAGTTTCTGCCGAGAGATCTGCTGTGAGTCTGATGGGCTTCCCTTTGTGGGTGACCCGACCTTTTTCTCTGGCTGCCCTTAGTATTTTCTCCTTTATTTCAACCCTGGTGAATCTGACGATTATGTGCCTTGGGGTTGCTCTTCTTGCAGAATATCTTTGTGGTGTTCTCTGTATTTCCTGCAATAGAGTGTTGGCCTGTCTTGCTAGGTGGGGGAAATTTGCCTGGATGATGTCCTGAAGAGTATTTTCCAGCTTGGATTCATTCTCTTCGTCACATTCAGGTACACCTATCAAACATAGGTTAGGTCTCTTCACATAGTCCCACATTTCTTGGAGACTTTGTTCATTCCTTTTTGTGCTTTTTTCTCTAATCTTGGTTTCTCGTTTTATTTCATTGAGTTGATCTTCGACTTCTGATATTCTTTCTTCTGCTTGGTCAATTCGGCTGTTGAAACTTGTGCATGCTTTGCGATGTTCTCGTATTGTGTTTTTTCAGCTCCTTCAATTCATTCATATTCCTCTCTAAGTTATCCATTCTTGTTATCACTTCCTTGAATCTTTTTTCAAATCTTTTTTCAAGGTTCTTAGTTTCTTTGCCTTGATTTAAAATATGTTCTTTTAGCTCACGAAAGTTTCTCATTATCCACCTTCTGAAGTCTAATTCTGTCATTGCGTCATAGTCATTCTCCATCCAGCTTTGTTCCCTTGCTGGGAGGAGTTTTGGTCCTTTGTAGGAGTCTCGGTGTTCTGGTTTCGGGTGTTTTCCTCCTTTTTGCTCTGGTTTTTTCCCATCTTTGTGGATTTATCCACCTGTTGTCTGCGTAGTTGCTGACTTTTCGATTGGGTCTCTGAGTGGACGCCCAGATTGTTGATGATGAAGTATTTCTGTTACTTGGTTTTCTTTCTACCAGTCTAGCCCCTCCACTGTACGACTGCTGAGGTCCACTCCAGGCCCTGCTAGTCTGGGGTGCACCTATAGCAGCTGCGGAACAGTGAGGGATGCTACCAGTTTCTTTTTCTGCTATCTTTGTCCCAGAATGATGCCTGCCAAATGTCAGTCTTTTGGATATAGAGGGGTCAGGGAGCTGCTTGAGAAGACAGTCTGTACTTTATAGGAGCTCACGTGCTGGGCTGTGAGCTCTATTGTTTGTTCAGGGCTGTTAGGCTGCTACGTTTAATTAGGCTGCTATGTTTAATTCTGCTGCAGCAGAACTCGTAAAAAAATCCCCTTTTTTCCTCAGATGCTCTGTCTCGGGGGGGTTGGGGCTTTCTTTATGAGTGTCTGTTGTGCTGTCCTGCCCAGCTAGGAGGCAGTCTAGTTACTATTTGCCTGCCGAGGCTCCTCCCTGCTGGTGTGAGGTCCGCCCTGTTGCTGCAGGCTCTGTCCTGCTGCTGCAGTCTCCGCCCTGCTGCCACGGGCTACACCCTGCGGCGCAGTCTCTCTGTTGTGGCGGGTTGCCTTGGCAACAGCAGGCTGCGTCAGCAATGGGAGTGTACCTCAGTGGGGCGGGTTGCCTTGGTAATGGCGGACTCCCCTCCCCCACCGAGCTGCACTGTCCTGGGTTCAGCTGTGCCCACAGTGAAACTCTCCACCCGGAGCGTTTGGAATCGCCATTTTGTTTGTCCTACTGCCCTGGCCCAAACGCCATTTCCCTGGAATCTCCTGGCCTGGCTCACTGTCCAAGTCCCATTCAATCAGATGGATATGCCAATCTGCCCTCTCAAGTCTCAGATTGCCGGTTCAACAGGGCACCCGGACCCGTGCGCTTTGTGCGGAGCGCTGTGGAGTGCCGCTACTCTGCAGCGCCAGCCACCGGCTGCACCAGCCAAAACCGCTGCACTGGCACCCCACGTCTCTTTTATACCTGGGAATTTCCCCGTTCTGTGGGCAACAAAGATCCGTCTGGAAATGCAGCCCTGACTCACCCTCCGCAAGTTCACCGAGGGCTTCAATCCTGGGTTGTTCTCACCGCGCCATCTTGAGTCGGTCCTCCGAGATCAACATCTTAAAGCCATATGCCTACCAAAGCAAGTCAGGCACAACATTACAGAGTGACACCTTTACAAACCTGTGGGCTGAAAAAGGAATGGATTGTTTTTTCCCCTTTATAACAGACACGTCTGGATTATGAAGAGAGAACACTTAGCTCTTCTCTGGCTTTAAAACAAAATAAATAGATAAATGAAAAATAAAAGAAGGAAGATCTTCTCTGGCTTTACAGGCGATGAATGGCCTATTTGGTGATACTCTTTACCTGCTCTGTGAAAGAACATCACTAGCCCATTCCATCCAGCAAGTGTTTCCCACACTTCACTGGTCAAAAGCACAACCTGAGGTTCATCCCAAGCCAATTGACTCAGAACTGCAAAGAAGGGAATCTAAGACTCAACATCTTTAACCAGGGCTCCTGTGCATTGTTTTGACCAGGGACATTTGGGAAATACTGTGTTTTCTAAGCAGTGGCGGTCATGTTAGACTGCTGGAGTACTTCTGTATGCAGAGAGCAGGTGTACTTAAAACTTAGGACAGGATTGGGCTGGGCGTGGTGGCTCACACCTGTAATCCAAGCACTTTGGAGACCAAGGTAGGCGGATCACCTGAGGTCGGGAGTTCAAGACCAGCCTGACCTACATGGTGAAACCCCGTCTTTACAAAACAAAAAACAAAACAAAAGAAAACCTTAGGACAGGATATTAGAGGAGAAGGGAAATGAAAGTGAAACTGAGATGAGAAACAGAAATTCAAAGAGCAGCAGAACCACATTAATGGATGTCTAAGTTCTTTATCTGAGTTATTTTGCTTTCCAGGCCTCTTTTTCCTCATCTGTAAAAGGAAGGGGTTAGTCTAGTTTTAGGGCCCCGGTGGATGTCCACGGGACTGTTCTGAAGGGGAGAAGGCCTTAATCTGTTTGTGTTGCTCTGAAGGAATAACTGGCTGGGTGTGGTGGCTCATGCCTGTAATCCCAGCACTTTGGGAGGTGGAGGCGGGCGGATAACCTGAGGTCAGGAGTTTGAGACCAGCCTGGCCAACATGGTGAAACCCCATCTCTACTAAAAATACAAAAATTAACCAGGTGTGGCGGGCACCTGTAATCCCAGCTACTCAGGAGGCTGAGGCAGGAGAATTGCTTGAACCTGGGAGGTGGAGGCTGCAGTGAGCTGAGATCGCACTTCAGCCTGGGTAACAGAGTGAGACTGTCTCAAAAAACAAACAACAAACAAAAACAGGAAATATTGAGGCTGGGTAATAGATGCAGTAAGGAGGTGTATTCGGCTCACAGTTCTGCAGATTATACAAGAAGCATGATGCCAGTATCTGCTTCTGGTGAGGGTCCCAGCCTCTGCTACTCATGACCAAAGGCTAAGGGGAAACAGTGTGCAGAGGTCACGTGGTGAGAGAGGAAATGAGAGAGAGGGAGAGGTGCCAGGCTCTTCTTAACAACCAGCTCTCACAGGGACACATACACCAAGAACACATCATTCACCCCCAACCCTACCCAAGAAAGGCCATCAATCTATTAATGAGGGATCTTCCCCATGACCCAAACACCTCCCATTAGGCCCCATGTTCAATCTTGGGGATGAAATTTCAACATGATCGGTTGGGCGTGGTGACTCTTGCCTGTAATCCTAGCACTTTGAGAGGCCGAGGTGGCCGGATCACAAAGTCAGGAGTTTGAGACCAGCCTCACCAACATGGTGAAACCCCTTCTCTAAAAGTATAAAAATTAGCTGGGCATGGTGGCACACACCTGTAGTTCCAGCTACTCAGGAGGCTGAGGCAGGAGAATCGCTTGAACCCAGGAGGTGAAGGTTGCAGTGAGCCTTGGTCATGCCACTGCACTCCAGCCTGGGCGACAGAGAGAGACTCCGTCTCAAAAAAAAAAAAAAAAAAAAAAATTCAACATGGTAACTGGAGGGGACAAACATCCAAACTACAGCAGCCTCCCTCAGGCTTATCACAATCTCCTCTTCAGCCAGAGCAAACCTGCTTGGATTTGCTTTCCTGGTTGGGCTTCTATGTTAGATTTCATTTAAGTAAAATATTCAGTACGATTTAAAAAAAAAATTGAAAATGACTGCACTAAATGATTCCTAAGGTCCTTACAGCTCTAGGATACTAAGTGTGTCTTCAGCAGCCGTGCCAACAACAGAGATCATTAGCGCAGAAAAGAGCACCAGGAGCCTTAGGACGCAGGCTACATTTTGAGACCCAGCTTTTAAATGGGTCTCCTGCTGTTCCAGCCTGCTGGCTTCCTTGTTGTGGGCTGGCATTCAAGTGGAGAAGAAATAACTGTGCTGTTTCCATGAATATCACAACTTAAAGACAAAAAATCACCACGAAGATTGTTTGTCATTGTGTAGACAAAATAATAACCGGTTAATTGCTGAATTTTCTTCATTTTCACTGGTTGTTTTGGTATCAGAACTTACTATAGCCAGATGTAAGTTCTATTGAGTGACTGGGCGTAAGACCAGCTGTGCATTCAAAAGCAGGTGTACCCAGCGACAAGCCAGGTGCCTGATGGGAGAGCCTGCCAGGAGTTTAGAGATGCCACTTCCCCTATTTAGACAGTGCATGCTATACTGTATCTCTAGAAACAAGCATCTGTTTACAAATGGATATAACCTTTGCCTGCCTACTCACCTTTCAATATAGGGGAAAGGATTGCTATCGACGTCTGTGGCAAAACTTGGGTTCAAGTCCAGCTCTGTGCTCGCTGTGTACTTTGGACAAATCACCTATCTTATCTAAACTGCGAGGCTATAATATCTACTTTGTAGCACTGCTGTGAGGATTAAATAAGATAATGTATGTGAAGTGTTTGGTAAATAGCACAGTCTTAAAAACGTAAAGATACATTTATCATAATGAATAATGGCACCATATTCAGGCAAACAACATTAGGAAGAAAACACTGTTACATTCACAAAGTATACAAATGCTTTTATGTATATTCAGACAATAGATAGCATGATTATTAACACATCTATTTATTCATTCATTCACTCATTCCTGCCTATATGGCACTAGTCCCTAGGGAGATAAGAAGTAAATTAAGGGAAAACGGTCAGATAAAAAATACATTTAGAATTTGATGATCAAACAGTTCGGTGTCTATTGAGCCAGTACTATGTTCCCGGAGCTCGGTTCCTTTCCCAGGGAGCACGGGTCTCCAGTGGAGAGGCTCATAGTCACGAAGAGAGGACCATGGCTCGGTGAAGGCTGTAAAATCCAGAGGATATCCAGAGCTTGCTCCCAGCTTGGCAGACTGATGCTGACTCAGCACAGATTTGATCTCAAGGCCACTTTCCAGGACGTCCACTGCTCTCCCCGTTTCCATTCAATCACACTCATGTCCTGCCTGGGTGCTCAGGACTCTCCCAAATGCACTGAGTGAACTTCACATTAGCCCAGTTTAGCCTTTCAGAGTAGAATGACTAGACCTGTGGATGACCAGACTAGTGGAGAGATGGTCCCTCAGAGCCTCTCTAACATAGTACTGAAGGAAAAGTCTTTTTTTTTTTTTTTTGAGACGGAGTCTCACTCCTTCACCCAGGCTAGAGGGCAGTGATGCGATCTCAGCTCACCGCAACCTCTGCGTCCCCCGTTCAAGCGGTTCTCCTGCCTCAGCCTCCCAAGTAGCTGGGATTATATGCACGCGCCACCACACCCAGCTAATTTTTGTATTTTTGGTAGAGACGGGGTTTCACCATGTTGGCCAGGATGGTCTTGAACTCCTGACCTCAACTGATCCACCCACCTCAGCCTCCCGAAGTGCTGGGATTATAAGCATGAGCCACTGCGCCCAGCCAGGAAAAGACTTTTTAAATAAAAAATAAAATAAAGACGGCGTGCCTCCTTTGAGCATGTTCTTTTTAAATTGTAGTAGCCAACTCAAATGATTTAGCATATACACGTATGATTATGTTGAGAAGATGTGCAAGATGAAATAGCTTTAAGCAGCAGAGACAAAGGGACCGGGGCTGCCATAGTTAACCACACCCTTTGGTTACCTGTGTAACATTGCATCATGCTGCACAAGCATGCCTCTCTCACAGGCGGATCATTTAGGTCACTGCCCACGGTTAAGTCCAAACTTGCTCTCTTGCTTTTACTGAACGTAAATAAAAACGAATTTAAGATTGGCCACTTACTCCCCTGCAGAAGGCTGGAAGTGGATGGGACCTACAGCTTTCCAGTCTAAGGGAAACCCTTGCCTTTGATCTCTCTTACTTCTCTCCGAAAATGGTAACAAAGAAGATTAAAGTTTTTCCCCTGTTGAGTGCTCCTCCTCCCTCCCACCCTTCCCTCTTTCTGAAGGGCTCTTAGGTCAGACAAGAGCATTGCATATATGTTGCAATCCGAAGCGGTCAAGCAGGGGTAGAGGGCGTGGTTTCCTGCCCGGGGAAGAAGGCTCTGCCGGCGGCCTCCCCTCTGAGCCTTAGTAAGAGGCTCCTTGACAAGCCCTGACTTTCTGCGTGCCTTTGACATTGATTAGTTCCAGGGACTCCTGTTGCGGGAGCCACCTGGTGTGTATTTTTCCTCTGCATGTCAGAAAGACTTTCGGGCACCATGTGACTTTGAAGTGGGTGCGTCGTGGCCTGTTGCAGAGATTCCTCAGAGAAAGACTGTGTCCTCTTCCACAGCCTGTGGCAGGCAGATGGCTTCTTGTTTTGGATACTGTTTTGCCCAGGCCCATGGTGACATCCGTGCCTTGTTTCATGGTATCTTGTAATCTTTTGTTTATTTATCTAGCAGTTTTACTCAGCTCTTGAATATACACAAAATGTGTATTTCCTTTACTGTTCTTTAACATAATATTAGTGGAACATGCTTTCTACTCTCTTTAAAATTCTTATTTATTTATTTATTGAGATGAAGTCTCGCTCTGTTGCCAAGCTGGAGTGCAATGGCATGATCTCAGCTTACTGCAACCTCCACCTCCGGGTTCAAGTAATTCTCCTGCCTCAGCCTCCCAAGTAGCTAGGACTACAGGCACTCACCACCACATCCGGCTAATTTTTTTGTATTTTTAGGAGAGACGAGGTTTCACCTTATTGGCCAGGCTGGTCTCAAACTCCTGACCTTGTGATCCGCCCACCTCAGCCTACCAAAGTGCTGGGGTTACAGGCATGAGCCACCACACCCAGGTTAGAATTCTTTTTTAATACGCAAGTTTGTATAGACTTACAGTTGCATAAAAGTTACGTGGAAAACTAACTTTTGGAACTTAGATTATGTATTTTTTTTGGTTTGTTTTTTTGTTTTGTTTTGTGAGATGGAGTTTTGCTCTGATGTTCAGGCTGGAGTGCAGTGGTGTGATCTTGACTCACTGCAACCTCTGCCTGCTGGGTTCAAGCCATTCTCCTGCCTCAGTCTTCTGAGTAGCTGGGATTACAGGTGCCCACTACCACATCTGGCTAATTTTTGTAAGTTTAGTAGAGACATGATTTCCTCATGATGACCAGGCTGGTCTCAAACTCTAGACCTCAGGTGATTTGCCTGCTTAGGCCTGCCAAAGTGCTAGGATTATAGGTGTGAGCCACTGCAGCCCGCCTAGATTATGTATTCCTTGTGACTAAACACCATTACAAATTAGTGATCTTCTAATAAATCTCATAATAATTCTAAGACCAAGGTTGTCTTGAACAAAGCATGGTCATCTCCACTGCCAACACCATAATAATAATGACAACATGGCCGGGTGCGGTGGCTCACGCCTATAATCCCAGCACTTTGGGAGGCCAAGGCAGGTGGATCATGAAGTCAAGAGATAGGGACCATCCTGTTCAACAGGGTGAAACCCCGTCTCTACTAAAAATACAAAAATTAGCTGGGCACGGTGGTGCGTGCCTGTAGTCCCAGCTACTCAGGAGGCTGAGGCAGGAGAATTGCCTGAACCCAGGAGGTGGAGGTTGCGGAGAGCCGAGATCGTGCCATTGCACTCCAGCCTGGGTAACAAGAGCAAAACTCCGTCTCAAAAATAGTAATAATAATAATGACAACTATAGCATTCACCTAAGGCATAGAAGCTTAAAAAGTAGATTCTCTAAATGACCCATTTTGTTCTTCATACCAGTATCCATGTCATTTTACAGGCAGATAACCAAGACTTAGAGAAGAGGAGAAGAGATTTGCCCAGGATCACTCAGGGTACATGAAGGAGGTAGGATTTGAAGCCAGGTTTCCGATCGCAGAGCCCCAGGGCCTGCCCAACATGTACAAATTTCATACATTTCTCTAAGAGTCTTGCGATCTGGCCACAAGTGGCAATAAATGTACAAGAATGGGCATCCAGGCCCCGTGGTGTGGTCGTGATGTTGCTGCCTGTCACTACGCGGTCCTCTGTAAATCTCTTCACTCATCCAGGCCTCAGGTCACTCATCTCAAATCGCAAGAGCCTGAACAAGATGGGTGTCTGTCAACAGGGCTGACTCTACGCAGGTATTTCAAAGATTCTGCAAATGCTGATTTCATGGAGGTGGAGGCTGACCTTTGATCACAGCAATCTTTTTTTTTTCTGAGATACAGTCTCTGTCCCTCAGGCTAAAGGGCAGTGATGTGATCAACTCACTGTAATCTCAAATTCCTGGGCTCAAGGGGTCCTCCTGCCTCCACCTCCAGAGTAACTGGGACTACAGGCTTGTACCACCACGTCCAGCTAATTTAAAATATCTTTTTTTGTAGACACAGGGCTATGTTTTGTTGCACAGGCTGGTCTCAAACTCCTGGTCTTAAGTGATCTTCCTGTCTCAGCCTCCCAAAGTGCTGGGATTATAGGTGGGAGCCACCATGCCTGGCAATAATTATTCTTAACTCTTATTTTCAAATTCCTAAATGTTTAGAGTTCATCTAAACATTATCTTAGTTCGAATGTTATAATGTGAACTCAAAACATATTGTAGAAGAAACCTATTAGGCAGAACCAATAAAAAGATGTTGAAAACTAGTGTTTTTTTTTTTTAGACAAAGTCTCGCTCTGTCACTCAGGCTGGAGTACAGTGGCACGCTCTCTGTTCACTGCAACCTCTGCCTCCCGAATTCAAGTGATTCATGTGCCTCAGTCTCCTGAGTAGTTCGGGTTACATGTGTGTACGATCACGCACAGCTAGCTAATTTTTGTATTTTTAGTAGAGATGGGGATTCATCATGTTGGCCAGGCTGGTCTCGAACTCCTGATCCACGGTGATCTGCCTGCCTTGGCCTCCCGAAGAGCTGGGGTTTCAGGCATGAGCCACCATGTCCAGCCTGAAAACTAGTTTTGCAATCCGCCACCCACTTTGGAATGAAACAAGATTGGAGTTGAAGAGGCCAGGAATGGTTGGAAATGGGAAGATTGCTAGATCTTTATAGAGAGTTGTCAGTGTGCTATTAGTACCCTTTACCCTCAAAGGAGGGAAGAGGGGGTGCTTTCTCTTACCCTATGACCCATGGAAAGGGCTTCCCCTGACCACTTAGAGTGCTTGATTTGTGTCCCTTGCAGTGTGAGGGGAACCAGTGCACCAGGATCTGACTGACTTTATCTTGAGAAGGCTGGAGCAGGGGGCTGTGCACATGGCCTGGAGCACTGTGAATGAGGAAGTAACTGCATACCCTTTGTAAGAAAGAGAAAGGTGGGGGGCTTGCCTTAGATGCTACCTCAGAGAGCTACCTAGAAGAGCAAGGAGACCCCAGTAGAGAAAGGCTGGAGGAGCTGGGTGCAGTGGCTCACGCCTGTAATCCCAGCACTTTGGGAGGCCAAGGTGGGTGGATCACCTGAGGTCAGGAGTTCAAGACCAGTTTGGGCAGGGCACGGTGACTCACGTCTATAATCCCAGCACTTTGGGAAGCTGAGGTGGGCGGATCACAAAGTCAAGAGATCTAGACTATCCTGGCCAACATGGTGAAAGACAGGATAGAGACTATCCTGTCTCTACCAAAAATACAAAAAAAAAATAGCTGGGTAAGGTGGTGTGTACCTGTAGTCCCAGCTATTTGGGAGACTGAGGCAGGAGAATTGCTTGAATCTGGGAGGCAGAGGTTGCAGTGAGCTGAGATTGTGCCTTTGCACTCCAACCTGGGTAACAAGAGTGAAACTCCGCCTCAAAAATAAATAAATAAATAAATAAAGTGAGGAGTTTGAGAAAGATCAAGGTAGGGACTGATGGAAGACTCAAGTCACCCATCTTGAAGACATCCACTTATGAAAGTCAGAAAACCAGCAAATGAAAGTCATAGAAGTGAGAGTCTCCCAAGAACCCACGGGAGGAAGAGTTATCTTCGGAAACACCATCCTAATGGCTAAATAGCAGAAAGGAGAGCTTTACTGGGGACATAGTTTGTAAACCAGGAAGAGAGAGT